AGAGAAACACTGCGTAGTTTGTGTTATGTTGTGTTTTGTTGGTTTTGGAAGCTCAAGTGCTTCCCGCGGCCTCCTCCCAGCACCTCCTCCTTTCCTTTCCGCCTCCTAGTTGCAAGGCAAGAAAACCAAACACCCACACACACAGCGTCTCGCGCCCTCGATGCAATGAAACGCTGTGTATTTCTGGTTGTTCTGGTTTTGGGGGCTTGGGATGCAAGGACACATTGTGTATGCTTTGTTTTGTTTTGGGGGGAAGCTCAAGTGATCCCCGCGGCCTCCTCCCAGCACCTCCTCCTTTCGTTTCCTCCTCCGTATTGCAAAGCAAGAAAACCAAAGATACACAGTGTTTGGCGCCCTCAATGCAAGGAAACGCTGTGTATGTTTGTTATTCCTGGTTTCTGGGGTTTGGGATGCAAGGAAACATTGTGTATGTATGTTGTTTTTGTGTGGTTTTGAACGCTCAAATGTTCCCCGCGGTCTCCTCCCATCACCTCCTCCTTTCCTTTTCGTCCTCCCTGCTGCAAAGCAAGAAACCAAACATACACAGTGGTTACCGCCCCCGGTGCAAGCAAACGCTGTGTATTGTTGGTTGTTCTGGTTGTTTTGGTTTAGGATGCAAGGAAACATTGTGTATGTGTGGTTATTTTGGTTTCCTGGGGGTTTGGGAGCTCCAGAAAAGAAAGGAGGAGGTGCTGGGGGGCGGCCGTGGGGAGCACTTGAGCTTCCCAAACCAATAGCCAAACATACACAGTGTGTCCTTGCATCCCAAACCAAAAAAAATAACAACCAAACATACACAGCGATTCCTTCCACTGAGGGCGCCAAACACTGTGTATGTTTGGTTTTCTTGCTGTGCAATAAGGCAATAAGGAGGAAGGAAAGAAAGGAGGAGGTGCTGGGGGGGAGGCCGCGGGGAGCACTTGAGTTCCCAAAACCAAAAAAAACCTACGCATCGTCTTCTTGCATCCAACACCCGAAGCATCCAGAAAAAAATGCACAGCGTCTCCTTGCATCGAGGGCGCCAAACACTGTGTATGCTTGGTTGTCTTACTTTGCAATCTGGAGGAGGAAAGGAATTGAGGAGGTGCTGGGGGGGAGGCCGCGGGGAGCACTTGAGCTTCCAAAACCAAAGACCAAACATACACCGTGCTCCTTGCATCCTAGACCAGCAAAAAAACATAACAACCAAACATACACAGCGTTTCCTTGCATCGAGGGCGCCAAACACTGTGTATTATTGTTTTTTGTGTTATTACAAAGAGGAGGAAACGGAAAGGAGGATGGGCGAGGAGGAGGAGGAAGTGTGTTTGGAGAAAGGGGGAGGACGGAAGAAGAGAAGGGAAGGATGAATAAGAAGATGATGAACGTGAATACGATTCAAGATAACATGTATGACTTGGGCCGGCATGGAAACGGACAGAGCGATTCAACAATTTGACCGAAATTCACACCATCGTTCGTACTGGGAGCCTTGGCGTTGAGAGCTTGTTACGTCACCCCGCGCTCTTGGGAGCCTTGGTGTTCAGAGATTGTTGCGTTGCCGCCCGTTCCTGAGCCTTGGCTGGGCCTTGGTGTCAGGAACTTGTTACGTCGTAACTCTCTGCTGGGAGCCTTGGTCTTATCAGCTTGTTTACGTCACCGTTCGCTCTTGGGAGCCTTGGTGTGAAGAGCATTTTGCGGTACCGATCGCACTTTATTTGGCTTCGTCGCTGAGCCTTCTTCGGACTCCTATTGCGGCCCTGTTTGAAGCCCTTCGCGGGCCTCTTGGGGGCCTCTTGGGGCTTCTTAGGGGTCTGTGGGGGGCCTCCTGGGCGCGTCTTGGGGCGAAAGGCTAGACTTTCGGGTTCGTGGTTCCTCTTCTGGGGCCGTCTTGGGGCCGTCTTGGGCGCCTCTTGAGCCGTCTTGGCGCCCTCTTGGGCCGTTTTGGGGGCCTCTTGGGAGCCTCTGGGGCCGTGTTGGGGCGGTCTTCGGGGCCTCTTGGACCGTCTTCAACGCCGTGGAAGCCGAAAAGCCGTGCATGCTAAAAATGTAAGTTTTCTTATAGGAAATCAATGATTTTTGCCTCCTGATGGCCTGGTCGGACGCCTCTTGGGGCCTCTTGGGGCTTCTTTGGGGGCTGTGGGGGCCTCCCGGGAGCGTCTTGGGGCGATAGGCTAGACTTGTCGGTTCGTGGTCCCCCTCTTGGGGCCATCTTGGGGCCCTCTTGGGCCGTCTTGGGCGCCTCTTGGGCCGTCTGGGGGCCCTCTTGGGCCGTTTTGGGGGCCTCTTGGGAGCCTCTTGGGCCGTTTTGGGGCGGTTTTCGGGCGTCTTGGGCCGTCGCCAACGCCGTGAAAGGCGAAAAGCCGTAGATGCCAAGAATATACGTTTGCTTCTGGAAAAATATATATGATTTGGGTTTCTTGGGACCCTCTTGGGACGCCCCTTGGGCGCCTCTTGGGGGCCTCTTGGGGGCCTCTTGGGCCGTCTTGGCCGGTCTTGGGCTCTCTTGGAGCGCTCTCCGGCCGTCTGGAGGGAGAATCCGAAAACATACAAAACCCAAAGGAAAAACACCCAAAATAGGACAATCAGACCCCGCCTTCCCGCCTCGCCCCTCCCCTTGACCCCTCCCTAGAAGGGCTTCGCCCCCTGCTCAACGTCACTCGCTCGTACCTCGCTCTTTCCGTCATCTTGGGGGAGGCCAACCAAATATATTTGTGACGATCTCTACACGCTCCCTTGCCTTAGGGTGCACGTCGTGCCGTGTCCTGGTCCCTGGGCGTCGTGTCCTGGAGGCGGCCGCGACCACATGTGCACCCCTCCCGGCCGGCTCTTGTTGCCCGAGCCGTTGGCCTCCCGCCCGGAGCCGAGCAGCGCGATCCCGTCCCGAGTTGGCAAGCCAGCCAGTAGACGGGCCCGATTGGTTACAGCACAGCCAGCTTCGATGGGTGGGGCGGACGTGCCAAGTCAGGGGCGCCTTTTGTGCCCTGCGCCTCGCGGCCCGTTCTTCCTGCACTCCTGTGGCAGCGTGGCCCTCAGACGGGCCCCTTGCGTCCTCTCGCGTGCCGTGTCCGATACAGCCCGACTGTACTGCTTGCGATGTGGGCATCCGTTCACCATGCACTCCTCTAACACGTGTGGGAGTATGTCCATATCGAAGGAGTCCAGGGCCTGGCACATCAGCGTAGAGCTTCTATACTGCGAAATACCCGACGCGGATACAGTCGGGGCCTTGAAGAAGGAACCCTTTTCGTTGGGGAGGGGCTCCGCGTTCCTTAAGTGTTTCACAGCTTGCCTCAGGTGTTCCTTATGTTTCCGATAGGAAGTCGAATTTTAATGTATGGGAAAAAGGGGCCTCGTTCCTTATTTAGGTCTCCTTGGGTCAACGCCCCGACTGTATCCCCGTCACCCAATTGGTTGTAAAACGTTTGGCTGCGAGCGTCCGGGTGTGGGAGTGAGTCCGACTGGACGACGGCTACTACGGCGATGCCTCTTCCTCCTTTGCCTCCTCGTCGTAGCCCCTCCATTCTCTGCCGCCCTTCTCCCCCTTCCGTCCTCCTGCGGCTGCCTGCCTCCTGCGTCCTTGCTCCTCCCTGGCGGCCGTCCTGCTCCCTCCCAGTGCGTCCTCCTCGTTCCTCCTCCTCGTCCCTCCCCCCTCCTCCAACATCCCTCCTCCTCCCCGGCAGGTGCCCCCGTCCCCGGTCCCTGGCAGCCTCCCTCTCTTCACCTCCCCTTCGTCGCTGTAGCCGCCCATCCTTCTCGTCCTCCCCTCCCCCTCCTCCTCCTTCCTCCCGCATCCTCCTGCCTCCCCCGTCCTCCGTGCTCCTCCTGGGCTGCCGCCCTTCTCCACACGTCGAGGCACGACGCGTGGGAGGTGCAGCACGGGCGCCTCGCGCGAGCCGTCCGCGCGAGAGCGGGGCGCGACCGGGGCGCGCGCCACAGAGGCGAGAAGTCTGGGCGAGCCAGCCGGGCAGACCGCCCGAAACTTACCAGTTTGAAACATATCCCTATCCCTGTGTTTGATATCATCTTACCCCGATGCCGATCTTGAGGATTCCCTCAGTTTCTGAGGGCCTGTCCCTGAGATTGTCCTCGCTTTTTGCTCGCCCATCTTAGGGATAGGGATACGTTCGAGGCTGGTTAGAAACAGCCCCGCAGTCTGGGGCGGGCCTGTGCCGCCGTTCCTGTTGCGAGGTTCCGACTGCGTGTGCATTCGTGCAGGCCCCTTGGGCACCTCCCCTCGGATTGCGTCGCCCAGGCGTCTTGTCCGGGCACCAAAAAGAAACGGACGGGGCCGTGCGGCCACTCCTGGCGGCTCCTCTCTTTGGGGTGCTGAAGCCAGGGCTTCGCTCGAGGCATCCTCCCATCGTGCGAGTCTGGTTGCGAACGCGTCGCGCAAGTCCAAGTGCGAGCGTGCCGGGGAGGCAAGGCTGGGAGGCCGGGAGGCATGACAGGCTGGGTCCAGTCCAGGTCTGAGACCAACCTCTCAGTATGGCGTTGTTGGGGACACGCGGGGGCTGGGCAGGTCTCGTCAGGAAGCCGCCCCTCAGGAGGTGTCGAGTAGGCGCAGGTCGCGGGACATCGCGTCCCCCATACCCCCGCATTATATGTTGTGGTTTCTCTGTTGTGTTTTTTTGTTTCTCTCTCTCTCTCTCTCTTTCGCTGTTTCTCTCTAGGTCGCTCTCACACTCTTTCTCGAATTATTTATGTAACATTTATGTTATCCTATATTGCTTCGCTCTCTCTCTCTCTCTCGCTCTCTCTCTCTCTCTCGGAGGGGAGGAGGAGGAGGGTAGCACGGCTAATATTGCACGAGCGCACCTAGTTGTTGTTCTCTCTCTCTCTCTCTCTCTTTTTTTTTTCTCTCTCTCTCTCTATATATATGTGTGTATCCCTCTCCTGATCCTCCATCTCTCTCTCTCTCTCGTCTCTCTCCCCCTTCCGTCCTTCACATCATACCCGTCTGTCTCCTCTCTTCCTCGATTTCGTCCGCCGCCTCCCCCCGCTCCTCGCCCTCGGCAGAGGCGTCCAACTTCCCGCGCCTCTTCACCGACACCTGGTGCAACGGCTACGAGATGAAGGGGGAGATGGGGCTGAAGGCGGGCCAAGGGAACGAAGGAGGAGCAGGTCGGTCGGACTCGGCATTGCAGCAGTCTGCGCGCCGTCTTTCCAGGGAGGAATAAAACCACCCGGACCCGGACAATTGGCGTTTATTGCTTATACGCTTTGGGCATTTACTAAACAGCCCTGCCCTGTTCGATTCCTGCAGTGGGGGCGCTCAGCAAACGGCTCCGCGTCTCGGGGTGGTTATTATGGGGGTGATGTTTGTTGCCCTCTAGGTAGCTTGCTTAAGTATGTCACTCCGAGAACGCAGGAGGGGTGATGTATTATGTGTTATTATGCCGGTACTCAGTAATGCTTGTTGTTGTGTTATTATGTCGGTACTCAGTAATGCTTATGTGATATATATGTGTTTTTATGTGTGTATTATGATTGATTATGTTGTTATCTAGTCTTGCTTAAGGTACTCACTCCGAGAACCCAGGAGGGGTACACTTGCAGCTGCCGCCACGCCCGGCGCACAGCTCCCGCGAGAGCGGCGGACGGCCCGAAGCGCTAGCAACGGCAGGTCTCAGGAGGGAAACAAGAAATCACACAGACACAATTCATCGTCGATTCCTCCGAACATATGGGAAAATATGGGAAGTGTGGGGGAAGACAAAAAACAGAAAATATGGGAAAACATGCGGAATCCTGTGGTTTGTGTGTATGTGTGTGTGTGTGTGTGTGTGTGTGTGTCTAGCTCTTAACCGGAAGAGGCTCGCTCTCGACCCGCAGACCCCACCCCCCAAAAAAATGCATGTGTGTGTCCTTGGGCCCCTTGAAACCATGCAGTCGGCTTGGCGAGGATGCGAGAAGAAGTGCAACCATCGAACATAAACTGCTGCCGGCGTGCCTCACCACCTGGAAAGATCGCCACCAAGGGAGGACGGCAGAGCAGGAGGGAGGGATGGCAGGAGGAGGGAAGAGGATGGGGAGGAGGAAGATGAGAAAAGCAGGATGGACCAGTGCAAACCCAAGACGCACAAACGATGTTGCAATCGGCCCTGCCTCTAAGCTCCCTTTTGATAGGCCCCTAGGAGAATCCCTTCTCGTTTGCGGGAAGTGACCCGTGGAAAGACAACCGCCTGAGAGCCCTCTCTCCCCCTCTCTCGTGCTGAACACCATTCCCTGGACTCCAGCGCCGCGAGTGATTGTGATTGTGGCGTCCTGGCAGCCATACGCAGTGCCGAAACGCCCTTCCTTGGACTCCAACCCCAGGGGCCCTTGACATCAGGAGGGAGAAAAACACACAGACACAATTAATCGTCGATTCCCCAGACAATATGGGGAAATATGGGAAGTGGGGGGGAAGACACAAACCAAGAAAATATTCGAAAATATGGGGATTATTTTTATTTGTGTGTATTTATTTGTGTGTCCTGGGGCCCCTTCATTGACAGTGCTGCGACCTCTTGAGACGAGGGCGTGCGGCGCTGCGGCGAGAGCCTCACGCCGACCAGGAGCCGCCCTGCGTCCTTGCATCTGTTGCGAGCCCATGGGGCGAATGCGCGCGTCGCCAAAGCAGTACTTCAGATTTCGTAATAAAAGGGAGGGATTTTCGACGAAAATTGAAAACTACTCAACACATATTCCAACATGGTCAAGAAGTACCCCAAAAGAGTCCCCATACTATTGTTGACTAGTTGTGAAGATTCCTCCTGTAGAGGGACGGGCCCAACTCAAGGCTATGAGCAAGATGCACTACAGGCATGGAGTAAACGTCAGAACGACGTTTTGGTACTCCAGATTTCGCAATAAAGGGAGGGGGTCTGGACCCTCCAAGACAAGCCATTTCAGACCCCCCCCCCTGGGAGAACCCTCCAAAGCATCGTCCCCAGACCCCCACGGGCCCTCCAAGATAGCCTGGGCGAGACCCCCCCCGAAATGAGACCCCCCTCCCTTTATTACGAAATCTGGAGTAGCCACCGGCTGAAGGCGAGCCGACCTTCTTTGAGACTGTTCCGCATTCCAAGTTTCGGGAACACAGTGATGAGGAAGTCTCAGGCGAAACGCCCGACCCGCCGACACGTCTGGGACCTACAGGACGAATGCGCGCGTCGTCAAAGCAGCAGCCACCGGCTGAAGGCGAGCCGACCTTCTTTGAGACTGTTCCGCATTCCAAGTTTCAGGATCATCGTGATGAGGACGTCTCAGGCGAAACGCCCGACCCGCCCCACCGACACGCCTGGGGCTGCGGCCCGGAGGAGTGAATATTGTTTCTGCGGAGCAGGGAAGGAGACGAGGGCCCCGACACCCGATGCTTCTGTTGTTTGACGCGTGGGCCCCCGGACACCCCAACCCTTGGGCGCGGAGCGCCCAGGGGCGCCGCCAGAGGCGGCGCTGGGGTGTTGAGATTGCCCTCGGCTACTCCTGGGGGCCTGTTGTGACCAGCCTGGGACTACTCGGGGGGCCTGTTGTGGCCAGCTGGGACTACCTGGGGGGGCTGAAGCCTTGCCAGAGGGAGAAGTAGCATGAGGATGAGCAGGACAACGAGCGGGTTTCGGCCAGGGCGCCGGCGGGACGGGTGGAGCTCTTTGTGACTTGGTGGGGCTGTGCCCAGAGGGGCGTGGGGCGGCACGCGTGCGCCCCCACCAGGGCCGCAGGTGGAGCTCCCTCCATATGGCAGGCACGACGCGTGCGAGGGGTCGTGCCGAAGTGGGCGTGGGGCAGCACGCGTGCGCGCCCGCCAGGGCCGCAGGTGGGGCTCCCCAGGGTGCCTGTGGCCTGGGCCTCCCAGATGCGGTCGGAGGATCGCGCCGCATCGCCGATGCATCGGCGCTGCGGCTCGATGTGGAGCCCAATCTCCTCCCCGCCAACGGCACCGACACGTCGCCGATGCATCGCCGGTGCATCGGCTCGGCGATGCCGCGCGATCCTCCGACCCCATCGGCTCTGACCCCATCCGCGAGGCCTCCGTCGAGGGGGGGGGCACGAGGCGTCTGCCTGGAGTGCCAAGAGGACCCCGTGGCGGCACGCGTGCGTGCCCACGGGTGCCGCAGGCGGGGCTCCCTGTGGCAGGGCTGGGCCCAAGCGGTGTTTTGGCGATCTCGGGGGCCGTGGTCGTCTCGACCTCGCTCTGCGGTGAAGGCGGACCGACGACCAGACGAGGGAGAAAAAACGAACACAGGACGACGACGAAAAGCACCGGTTGGGTCCAGTCCTGCCCTGTTCGGGAGCCTTGAGACGGGGGTCAATGCAGACGGGGGTCAGCCAGGGCACCAGATCCTGCAGGATCCTGCGAAAACCCTCTCTGGCTGACCCGGGTTAGCGAGCCGCTCGTGGCCGCGAGGCGGCCGCGCACATTGGCTGACCCGGGTTTGCGAAGATCTGCGTTGCAGTTTGTTGTTCTTCCTGCACTGCAGTTTTGAGTTCCTGCTGACCCGGGTCTTGATCGACCCAGGTCAAGAGATCCCCGACTTGTGGTGCCCGCGGGGTGGGGGGGGGGGCACGGAGCGGCACGCGTCCGCGCCCGCGGGTGGAGAACCCCTACGTGTGGGGCCCGCGCCTTCTAAGAAGCAGCCTTCTTCTGAGAAGGCTCCCCCCTCCACCTGCCCCCTTGTGCGCGCCGCCAACACCAGGAGCCGCCAGCCCATCGTAATGCGACGCAATGTCTAACCCCTTAATGCAGGTTCTGTTTGGGGGCACGCGAGATCGTGGCCTCCGGAGTGCGCACTCCCTGTTTGTCGTGATGGGTGCGTGGCCTCGAGGGCGCGGGCGCGGATGTGTTCTACGGTGGATCTCGCGTGATATTGTGGGTGTTGAGCGTCTTCGCAGGGGATCCTGGGATCGACCGCGCGAGGACACCACAGTTTTCGAGAGGTGAAGGCCCAGGGTGTGCATCTGTTTGTTGCGTTGTACCCGGTGTCTCTAGGCCTCCCAGATGGGGTCGGAGCAGATGGGGTCGGATGGTCGCGCCGCAACGCCGATGCATCCGCGATGCGATTCGATGTGGATCTCGATTTTCTCCACGCACGCGGCGCCGACGCATCGCCGACGTTGCCTATGCGTCGGCGATGCATCTGCGATGCGGCGCGATCCTCAGACTCCATCTGCTCCGACCCCATCTGGGAGGCCCCATTCGGTGCGCATCTGATCATATGAACAACGACAAGAGCCAAATCACCCTTGTCAAATAATACAACTAGGTTCAGGAGGGGAAAAAACACACAGACACAATTAATCGGCGATCCCCAGGAAAATATGGGAAAATATGGGAAGTGGGGGGGAAGACAAAAACCCAGAAAATATGGAAAAATATGGGGAATCTGTTTATTTGTGTGTATTTATTTGTGTGTCCCAGTTCCCCTTCAAACTAGGTGCACGTCTGCTCATCTCAGTCTGGGCCCCGCCACTAAGGGCCGAACTCCTGGCTCGCAGGAGGCGTGCGCAGCACGGACGGCGAGGTCCACGAGTTTTGTCGTGGGCGACCCTGTGCTCCCCATGGAGCCGTGGGTCGCTCGGAACGGCTGGCGCTGCGGTCGTTGCTGGCACGAGGTTCGGGGATGGACAGACCTCCCTTTAGTAAAACGTGGTTTAGTGAAAACGACCTGAGGCCCAAACCTGGCGGGCGCAAGCCTGGAAAATAACGGCCGCGGCGCCCTCTCGAGAACCGAAAACGGACAATTCACGAATCGACGTGTCACTGTTGGGGGTTCTGTCCACCCCCGAGAGGTGTGCCCAGTCGCGAGTGCCCCGTGTGCGAAGCGCCTGGCGTTCCGTCTGCGCGCCCTCGTGAAGGTGTGAGAGCAACGGGCACCCGTTGGCCCGTGCGGTGGGCCGCAGCAGGCCCAGAGGCCCGACGACGAGCCGCCGCACCCGCATGCGGAACGGGCGCGCTGGCTGCCGACGCATCGCTGCCGGGAAGCACGTTGGTCGGGTGTTGCTAGAAGTGCCCCTGGCCCCATGGTGCCCCCGGCTCTTTTCTCCGTTTCGGAGCCCCTGGGGCCCTCTGGGCCTCGCGAGGGGTGCCCTGGAGGCCGTCTGGGCCACCCCGAGA